AATCTTCGCCTCAGCTACCCCCAATTGTTTCCTAGCCGACTCAAGGCAGTTTCGAGGACCATCTTTATACGTTTGGCTTAGCCTCTCAGCTCCGTTTCGCACACGAATTTCAATATCCAAGGCCTTTTGAATGGATGCTATGGCCTCTTCATTTGATGCAGCATTGTCTCTCATGGCGCGCAACATTTCTGCAAGACTGGTCACAGATAAAAAAGATCCTACCTTGAGGAAGCTTGTGTCGTAAAATAAGCAAGCATGTATCAAGTTCACCAATGTCTTCGGAAAGGTCTTTAATCTGTTCATTTAGCTGCTTGATGTGAGCAGAAGCCTTCTTCGAGTTTTTCGGAGTAACCAATTTTTCTTTAAATAATTGTTGGAGCTTCATTTTGTCCTGGTTCAACCTCTCCTGAAGTTGCCGATGCGTTTCTTCGACGGATGACTCTTTCAAACCATACCGACTTGTAAGAGATTTTACGTACGAAGAATATTCCTGAAAAAGCCGTAGATTAAGGAAGACGGCTTACCATTATGATGACTGCACTGAGCCAGAGCTAATGGATTTATCTAAAATGATTGCATATCACTAATAAAAACCCGGAAGTAGTAGCATGAGCAAATTGGTACAAGTAAAACTGCCGCTTTAAATACCGGAGGAAACACTTGTTGGGAAAAAACCTGAATTCAAATCACAAAAGTCCTAGGGCTTCAATGCAACCAACACCGGTCCTATAATGGGATGTTTGATAAGACCCATGGTATGAATAAACAATGACACGTTGTATTTCGCTTAAAAATAAATTAAAAACCTCAGCAGATAATCGCAACAATGAAAAGACCAAAGTCTAGGACCCTGTAGAATTCTCAGGTATGTTAGAGTGAACCAAGATTCGCACTAAATTTCAGGTGGTATCTTTAATATGCACCATTCTAAAGAGGCAAACACCCAGTAATCCATGGAAATTACACATGACAGCATAATACTCGGCCCACCCACACAAATGCACGAATGAGCAACACCACTCAACTTTGGCGGGTCCGCTTATCTATGACTCTCGAAAGTGTTAAACAATAATTTATTAAAAAAGCTGTTATAGCATATTCGAGCAACAATCAAGCTGGTAGCTAATGGCCAGTACAACGATAAAATACCCACTGTGAATGTGTGGTGTGGCATTGCGCATGCCTATTGTGAAAATTATTTAATAGCGTAAAGCCAATATGAACTGGGTTTTCATTCCGAAAAATAAGTTAATCAACTAACGCTAAAAAATAAGCGATTAAAAGCTTGTGCACCTAATTTGTTTTAGGGAAAAAGTTCCCTTATATATTACTTGCCCCAATTTTCGGCAGTTTTTGCCTGGGCAATTTTCAGTCAAAAGGTTTACTGAATGGACACTTAAATAATTACGATGGCTAATACATTCCTACTAGCTGCAACGTCGGAATTTTCAGAATCTTTTAAGTTTCAAACCTTATAAACGTTGAAAACAATTGTAAGTTTCCCCTTTCCCACTCTAGTTTCATGTACTTTGATAACTAATTGTAAGGCATGCGTAGGAGAGAACTTGCTTTATTCGCGAAGTCTGCTAAATAAATGCAGGTTATTAAAGTCTAAATGCGATCGGAGTTCTCTTCCGCTTCAGTGGTCAGTGGAACGCGTGCGTACCCGTGGTTGACTAAAACTTAACACTATTTGCCTAATAAAACTATCTAAGCAAACTCGTACCACCCTTCAAATTTAAACTTAAAATTGCTCTTCTTCGACACAGTAATCAACCAACACCTTTTAACATAATAACTGACCGATGTTTTTATTCAATCTCTATCAATTGCTGTCGAGCGACATTTTCGCCAAATTCTTTAACTAGAGTTTTGTTGAAAAACATGCTTTAAGCTCATTTTATTGTAGAGCGATAAAAACACCTTACCACTAGCTGTAATGTAATACGATAGTGGTTTGTCCCTCGGCATTGGTGAGGCGCGACTTTTGTACTTTGAAGTAGCCCCCTTGTACCTCGCTGGGTGGACTGGCCTTTTTGGGCCATGCCAATAGCCCAGACACCTTCTCTGCGCTGAATATATATTCTGCCCGAGTATTTTGTCTTCTTTCATCTTCAGGGAGTCCCGTGACACTGCAGTAATGTTAAATTTTCCCAAACTGCCTAATATTAACTCTTTATCTGTATTGCCTGTTGAAAATAATGCGCTGAGGAAAGGCTCATGCCATTATCCCTACATCTGGTTACCGAACTAAACTAGTCTTAATTTGCTGCTTCCATGGGTTTCTTCTATTTGAGCTGTGGATGATGTTTATGAAAGGCAACACCCCATGGTTTTGATTACCTACTATCAATGTTGGGCGGCTGTAATTCCACCCCAAACACAATTTTAATGAAAGCGTGAAATCATATCGGTTGCCTTATTCACTATTTGCTGATCTTATTTATCCTTATTCACGTGACAATCCCCTACCCTCCTACAAACCTTAAAAGTCCACCTACAATGGTATGCTCTGATGGCACAGAAATCTTTTCAGATTAGGTGACCCACCCTAAAAGGTCAAGAAAACTTTGCACACAATAAGCACGTTTTGATGAAGCACTCGCGACATAGTGAAATCTCTGGATGGTTTATGCTAAAGCGAAAGTAAAATCTCCTTTCAGAACTTTGCTGAACTTCAACGTCCGCTTGTAGTTACGGTGGAAGTCAATGGGTGAACAAGCGCACTTTCCCCAACTTTCAGCGACTCTCCAAAATTAACTCTTTACATCGTTTGGTGCAACTTGGCTTACTTAAAAGAGCTAAGGGGATTTAAACATATTTCGCCATCTCGACTTCTTAAACTTTCAACAGTTAACTAATACCATTGTAATTCCCCCAAGTCTTCACGCGTGTTGTAATAAGCTAGAGAAGTGTGAAAGATCGTCCAGTTCTAATGTGCAAGGGAGCTAGCAGGCCACTAGTATGTCCAGAAAATCATATCAAAGAGCAGGATTGTAATTTCCCAAGCCTCAAATGAATGCACAAATAAGGAAACGTCAAACCATCGCATTGTAATTACAGCTCAGACTTTCCAAAATGCTCCCCATGGTCAGGCGACCCCCCACTTCCCTCCGAAGAAATCTACGGGATTCTCCATCACTCCCGGTGTGCATTAACATAAATTGATAGATGTCACTGACAGTCGGTAGGGCTTCAGGGAGAATTTGTCCTCGAGTGACTGACGGCGTAACACGTGGCCGTGCACAACCCGTCAAGGCTTCTCCATCTCGGTTGACATCTCTACTCCAGCTGCTCCTGTCCATTTGCTGCGTTTCGTTTTACCCATCGGACTTCCCTTTTCATTGATTGCTAACTTCAAGTAACATCCAACGCAAGGCTAAACTAAATGGTTTCTGACTTGAGAGTTGCTAACGTAGACCTTTCTAAAATTTTAACCGTTAATATGTGTAACTCTTTGAGTTCTCCAACTTGGCTGATGCACACTAACCTCATCAATCTGCCTGTCTTGTAAAAGTAATAATGTCAACTATGCCTTAATTAATTAAAATTGAGTTTTATGGGTTGATAGCTGAAGCGCCAGGTCATAGCTTAATGAAGATCGCTTATTCAAGGACTAATGAAAAAGACAAGCCTTAGCCCAAGTTTAATATGTCACTCAATAAATGGAACCACGCAAATGGGATATCGTGTAGGAAGTTTATGTGTGGTAAAAGGCTTTACCAAAACTCTTTGCAAGAGTACAAAATTGGCACTCTAACAGTACCAACTTTGAATGACAGCGAAGGCGCAGCTCACCGCCTAACGAATTCCACATTCAACTACCTTCACACTTCAGGTGGATTTTGATGGGATTTGAGGTTACAGCTGTCAAGGGTTTTCCCTTATCTGACTAGGTTTAGACAATTGTATAATCCAAAATACCTTCGAATTTCTCTGCCTCTCTTAACACTTCGCAATTACCAACTTCTCCATCACTATGAATGCTGCCTTCGTTCTACTTGCAGCGGTCTAGTTTACCACTGCGTGAAGGCCACAAAAACCCTAAACATAGGGCATAAAACCGTAAGTCAAGATTTTCATTTCACTACGGCTAAACCCACCAATCCCCATTCGACGTCAAAGCGGCCAGCTCAATTGGCTACCAGGTACACCTTTTCCATTGGTCAGGTTGACAATCGTAGAGTATAAATAGAGCGTTTCTCGCCATTTTGCAGCAATTTCCCACGCTTTTTTGACGGAATCCGCTAACGGAATGTCCTCTCCTGGTTAGTATTCCTTTTTTACCGTAGAAGTAATACCGTATTGCTATGCACATAGCTTCGACTTGTTTGCAGAGGGTAGAAGTGGCTGGCTAAGGTTGTATGCCTATCCATGATGGGTTCGGAAGCAGTAGATTGCATTATTTCTTTATGTGAAAATATTGTGCTCGTTGTAGAAGGTCACGCGAACCACCCTGGACCAAAACCAGGTCCACATGACTGCAAGAAAGACTGCAATAAGGCTCCGCATCCAGAAGGTCATCCTTGCCCCCACAACCCGCCTGACCACAAAGGACCTCCGCCCTGTAAACACGGCGAACACGGCAAGCCCGCTGACTGCGAGAAGAAATGCCACCCCGAAGGTCACAAGCCTGAGTGCAAGTGACGTGGCCACTACGATTAATCAAAGACTAACATTCACTCCCCTTGCCTTCCCTAGATGCTTATCCTGATTCCGGAATCTCTTCTCCTCCCTCCCCACCTCTTACCTCTATTATCTTCCAGTCTTGTTCACTTAATGTTAAGTTCTGCGCACCAGCATGGTCTTCTCATTCTCCTTTAAGGGGCGTGGGGTTGTGGTTTCGTTTGTCTCTCAATTGACACCCTGTCGGACCGCTCAGCAATCCAGAGGAAAAATCATTCAATCACTTTCTCCGTTGGCATTATTAGTAATTCCATTCCCAGTAACAAGAATGGCAGTATTTTGCTTTTCTTCCACCTATGATGATGTTCTGTAGCATCCAAGTTGCCCTTCAAGAGCCTGCTACACTGGTAGCATTAGTGCAGCTCCATGTCACCGTCGTGTAGGCCAAAGCGGGGAAGATAAAAGGTCAGCGTATCCGTGATTGCAAATGACAACACAGAACATTCGACAGCATTGTAAGAGAACGATGCTTGGTCTATTCCGACATTTAACTTTGTGACATCTTTACTCTCCTTAATTTCGGCTTCTACCTCTGTAATACAATGTTTTCACATCATTCATTCGCCCCTTCATCTGTATTGTGCGAGAATGATGATTGGCCTATTCGGGCATTTAACTTAGTGACATTTTTACTCTTGTTATTTTCGGATTCCACGACTGTGATACGATTTTTTCACCTCAATCAGCCTTACTGCTAGTCAATCCGCCAATAGACCTACCATTGACACCGATCCACACTCACGTACACGCCAACGTCGGTGGGAGGTTTGCTAAAATAATGACTACCTACTTGGAAGTCAGTTTACATTAACAGTAACCGACGAAACTGAGGGGCAAGCAAACTCACAGTCTTTTAATTGTTGGGAATATGGGTATATCGGCAACACTTCAACCCCTCATTTATGAGTTAGCGTATTCAATACGGCTTCACAGACGTCAAGTTAAGCCAAAAACTGGTGACCAAAATCAGTGTTGACGGGTCCCATGAATGATAATATGCCAAATTAGCGGTGGCACATCAAAGGAATTTGGCAATTTTAGGTGTCCCTTCCCCCGGCGATGTGCAGCATCCTTTACTCACAAGTTGCCATTACTTTCCTTTCGCTGATCGCTGTCTGTTAGGCGGTCAGGCAGTCTTAACCGTTTAAAAAAGAGGCGGGCAAGCTCTGTGATTTACTACTCCCCTATCCGCGCCATTGTCGAGGAAGAAATTTCACGGCCTTGCATTCACTGTACTTGTGCCCTCCAAGTATGAATGGCAGCCATTCAGGGGCACGCTGGGTAGGAAAACAGGATCCTCACCTAACTTTAGGCTCGGTAAAAGGGCTGGGGCGAAGTAGCCAAGTACGGACGCTATTCACCACGCAATTGACCAAATCACTGAAACTGTTGGTATCCATGATGATAAATTTCTCCAATCCAAGCTGTGAATGGCGTTGTTTACGAGAGTCAACATCCCAGGATTCTGATTCCCTCCAGTCTTCATTATTGGGTAGCGGTGATTCCATCCCAGATCCGAGATCTCTCAAAGGGGAATTTTATACTCATTGCAATATTTTTCATTTTCTAATCCTATCTATTCCTTTTCACGTGACAATTCCCTACCCTCACATGAACCGTAAAAGTCCACCTACAGTGGCATACTCTGATGATGGTACAAATATCTGGTCAGATTTGGAGACTCACCCCAAAAGTTTAAGCAAAGTTTGCATAAAATAAACACCTTTTGATACTGTGCTCGTCGCAGGGCAAAATCTCTTCATGCTTTATTTTCAAACATAAGCCGACCTTCTTAAAAAACTCAGTTGATCTTCAAAATGCACCCACAGTTCCACACTTGCAGAAGTTGACAAATCGTGATGTGCATAATTCAAGTGAAAGAAATACACAGAAATGTGCAGAACTGCCAAAATACCCACACAAATGCATGAATAAACAACACCATTTGACGCGAGCCGATCCACAATGCTCGAATGACTTATCCAGGTCTTTGGTACCTTCAAATAGTGGTCAACGCAATGATAACTGACGTGCTCTCTGACCTGGAAATTGCTTACAAAGACCCTCTCAATGTGCTCAAGCATTGATAAAACAGCCCATTTTATTCCTCTGGCTCTTCAATTAACTAAACTCCTCAGTCCACCTGCTTTGTTTGGGTAACGATGATAACCAATGCATAATGTGTCAAAATCAGGTTCTAATAATAACTCTTAGTTGTCCATGGGGACGTAGACAAGGGCAACAACCTTCACAACCACTACACCCTCAGCATTTGACTCAAAGCTCTACTCTTTGAGCTTGAAATGTAACAGTGGATTTCACGAATGCAAAACGTCTAAACAATGCATTGCCCCTATAGGACAAAATCGGAGCCCTATTCCTCAAACCCACTTTCATCTGCCTTCTCGCCCTTCACGTGCCTCCTGAGGCTAGTCCTCAACATGATTTGAGCAATGTGATTCTGCTTTAACATTTGTATAATTCACAATTCTTTCCAATCCCTCGTATCGGCACTATACTTCGCATTTACCAACTCCAACGTCACTGCGGATACAGCCTTCAGTCTACTCACAATGCTCTACTTTGCGAATGTGTTGGTCACGATCAATCTTGAACACAGATGTACACCTCACCTTGCATGAACCAAGTCAGGCACTTTCAGTGTAGAGTGTTCCACGCCACAGCGTCTAAACCAGCCAATCCACATGAGGCATTGAGGCAGCCAAGTGCATTGGTTACCGATCCCACCTCTTCCATTGGCTAGGTTGACATTCCTAGAGCATAAATACGGGCTTTTCTCACCACTTTGCAATCTTCCAACGACTTACACCAACGAAATGTCTTCTCCAGGTCAGCTTCCAATTTTTTACCACAGTAGGAATACAGCATTGTTGTGCATATACGTTTGACTTGCTAGCGTAATGAATGACGGATAAGGTTGGATAATTCCATCTGATAGGTTTGGAAACAGCAGATTTCATGATTGCGCTATGTGTGTGTGTGTGTGTGCGTTGTTTGCGTTGTAGAAGGTCACGCAAACCACCCTGGACCAAAACCAGGTCCACATGACTGCAAGAAAGACTGCAATAAGGCTCCGCATCCAGAAGGTCATCCTTGCCCCCACAACCCGCCTGACCACAAAGGACCTCCGCCCTGTAAACACGGCGAACACGGCAAGCCCGCTGACTGCGAGAAGAAATGCCACCCCGAAGGTCACAAGCCTGATTGCAAGTGACGTGGCCACTACGATTAATCAAAGACTAACATTCACTCCCCTTGCCTTCCCTAGATGCTTATCCTGATTCCGGAATCTCTTCTCCTCCCTCCCCACCTCTTACCTCTATTATCTTCCAGTCTTGTTCACTTAATGTTAAGTTCTGCGCACCAGCATGGTCTTCTCATCCCACCTTAAAACAGATGGGGCTGTGATTTCCTAAGTCTTGCTATTCACAAATAATTAGTGTTCAGCAATTTATTAGGTCCATAAGAGATAAATTTATGACAAGAATTGTCTCTCCTTCGCCTGCGTTTGCATCATTGAAAAGGTTTTTTACAAGGAGAAAATAACATTTCATTCCTTAGCTTCCAACCAGGGTCAAGATCTTAACAGTCAAGTTACCGGTAAAGACAGCTTCACTCGTCGCAAGAGTAGCATGAGGGGCAGCTCCATGCTTACGGCATGCAGACTAAATAAAAGAAGACGAAACGCCCGCGTATCCATGATTATAGGGAAAACATATCATTCAGCTATGTTGTGAGGAAACCATATTTGACCCAATCGACTCCAGCTTCTACTTCTGCGTCACAGCGTTCTCACATCATTTCTAACGCATTCCATGGACCTCCAACCACAGTCACACAAGAAGGTGTCAGAAGGTTTCGCGTGATAGGACTAACTACATGGGAATCAGGTTAAATTTGCAGAGGTCAACCAAACTGTAAAGCAAACGAACTGACAGTCCAATGGTGGTACAACGACATCACTTCAACCCTCATTCATGCGTCAGCACTTTTTGTACGTCTTCAGAGACGTCAAGGCAAGTCAAAATGATGCCCAGGATCGGTGTCAATGAGCCCAATGAATGATGACACTAAAAATTAGCATAAACATCTGACGTGTTGGAATTCAAACACTTGCACAGAGCCATCCGTTCTATCAGTTAAGTGCTGGAATCAATGCTTAAAAGCATAAACAATACAAGCAAAGCTATCCCTACAAGGCATCCACCATCACCACTGCAGTACGGCAATGGAAGTGGTATAAAGACGCATGCAGACTAGCTACCTAGCCCTCCAGCAAACAAACCCTCCAGCCAAAAAAGAAGCGCTGTAGCCGGGGCTAACGACTCGTCACAGATGACACCTACATTTTTATGAAAGCACATAGAGGCGAATGTGCAAACCCAAACCCATCTTGAAACTAGGAATTCATCCATCAGTAATACCATAGTCCACCTTGCCACGAAATTAAGACCATTCCCCATGACAAGCACACACAACACAGTCAAGAAGTGAAAAGAGAAGTGTAATTGACCAGGTTGTTGGCAGAGTTCAGCACCTCTCATAGTCAGTGAACTAGATTAAAGAAAGTCATACAAATGTGATACACACAAAGGCGCACAAAAGCGCGAGGGATAGTGGTGTAAACGCTAGTGTATGAACGCATGTATGTGAGAACCTGAGCCCCGTCACCACTACCCGTAGCAAATTGGACATAGTGGTCGATGCCTTGTGCACTGCAACCATTGCACCAACTGCGGTACAACTTTTCATCGGTACGCATTCGGTGATGAATGGTGATCTCTGTAAGGACGACGTGAAAACAACTGCCTGACAAATGAGCTAACTCCCATAGGAGTAGATGAAGAGAACGCTTTCGGGTCTCGCTGCGTCTATCCCCAAACCTTGCCGAGAATTCTGTGGGCAAACCGAAGTGAGCGGGTGTCGTCTGCAAGCCTACTCCTCCTCCTCCAGGGGAAAAAGGTGCTGTCGGGAAGTTGGTGAGGTAATTTTGACACCATTGGAAGGCAAAAGCGATGGTAGGGTCGGATCATCAGACTAAAACAAAAAACAACAACACCAAATCATACGGACATAAACTGCGAAGCAGTAGATAGCCATCAAGTGTTACTGTCAACAAAACAAGTTCCAAGCAAATAACTATCAAGGACGAATTAAGCAAAAAAGACCGTGCCGACGTACACCAGCATGCTTCAATCGTGCCAACTGATTCCGCAGAAAGCCGATCTTCGCCTCAGCTACCCACAATTGTTTCCTAGCCGACTCAAGGCAGTTTCGAGGACCATCTTTATACGTTTGGCTTAGCCTCTCAGCTCCGTTTCGCACACGAATTTCAATATCCAAGGCCTTTTGAATGGATGCTATGGCCTCTTCATTTGATGCAGCATTGTCTCTCATGGCGCGCAACATTTCTGCAAGACTGGTCACAGATAAAAAAGATCCTACCTTGAGGAAGCTTGTGTCGTAAAATAAGCAAGCATATATCAAGTTCACCAATGTCTTCGGAAAGGTCTTTAGTCTGTTCATTTAGCTGCTTGATGTGAGCAGAAGCCTTCTTCGAGTTTTTCGGAGTAACAAATTTTTATTTAGGTAACTGTTGGAGCTTCACTTTGATCTGGTTGAGACTATTCTGAAGTTTACAAATCGTATGCACAAAATCTGAAGCAAATGAGTTCTAAGAAAATAGGTGCGGAGCACGTTGAACTAAAATTTGTGCTTTGAATTAGCCGTATCCCATAATAACCACCACTTAAGAAGAAAAACAGTTAGATATTTGAGGGAAATCGCGTAAGACAGCGTAGATCCCAAACTAACCACACGAACATCTCGGGCCAGCATCATTCAACTGAGGCGGACTCGGTTATCGTGACCCTTGGAAGTGTTGAACGAAAATCAAGGTAGAAAATAGCTATGGTAGAGTTCGTTAATTTAAATCCACAGTGTTTAAAGTTTAAATTATTTGTCTGTTTTTCAAAATATTTTAGAGTGATGAGTTTAATTATTAGATCCCAATGCTCCTGATTATTTACCTCAAGTACCGCTATACGTAACGCTAATCTAAATGCTATCTAACCTAAGAGTTGTAAACATATAATCTTTCAATATGGCTATTTGTAATTGGTTTAGCCTTATTTTTTCGGCTTTGCTACCTGACGTTAGACTTATCAGTGAACTTTTCTCGCAGATTTATCGTTATGAATTTGACAAGACTTTGCCTGAAAAAGTGATGACCGGGGCAGCTAGTAGCACTGCCTAATTGTCCTTGGTTGCGTAATTAAGTGCAACAATATTTGACTGAATGACCGATTTGTACCATTCGGATTAATCTAAACAGCAGTAGCGATTGTGGAGGCAGTACTAACATTATTTCCTAGTTAGCTGCCATTTTTTATTCAACATTAAATCATTAGCACCCTCTATACTCTTAACCCAACTTTGATGTGTCCGAGGGTGCACATAACTGCAACTTAGATATACGCATAAGTAATGATCTACTACCCACATCTTTAGTGCAAAGTGAGACGATTTATTAACTGGGCATTTAAAAGGTCTGCCCTTATTTTATTTCCGCCGGTGACTCATCGAGTGATGCCGCTGATTCTAAATGCCGCATTGTTTTTTTACGAAGGCAAAACAACTGGACATATATACACTACTAGTATTAAATATCACCGAGGGTGTAGTGTACCTTTTCCGAAAATTGGCATTGGTCGACTTTTGCTCCTCATGTGGATAAAGATGGCACTCCTAATTAACACCGCCTACTTATTTCCTTCTCACTCCCCATCCTTGCCATTTACAAACTCCACTCTCATTATGATTGCTACCTGCGCTCTACTTTTAACAGTCTAGTTTACTACCGCAAAGGCCATGTGAAAAAACCTAAACAAAGAGAACGGAGACGCGCGCTAGCACTGTTATGGGCTAAATCAAGCACTCATGGCCGGGCGTTCCGTTCAGGCAGAGCTAAACCCACCAATCCACATGAGGTACTAATACATCCAGGCTATTGGCTAGAAGATTCACCTTTCTCATTGGTCCGGCTGGCAATCGTCGGACGTAAATAGGGGCGTAGCTTAGCTTTCTCCACTGTTGTACATTGTACTATTTCTGTCAACTAACACCGGCGGAATGTCCTCTTCTGGTGAGTTTCCTGTTCTTTTTTCACAGTAGTGGTGTAACATTACTATACACGTAGGTTCGACTTGTTTGCAGGGAAGATGATATGTTAGGTTAGATGCTTCTCTTTGATAGTTTTGGAAACAGTGGATTTCACTATTACTTTATGTGTACATGCTGTGTTTAAAGTAGAAGCTCATATGCACCACCACGAGCACGGGTCAGCGGACTGCAAGAAGGTCTGCGGTGAGGGTGCTGCCACCAAATGCCAAACTGGCTGTCACAAACCGGGCGTTGGGCATGGAACTGAACCCTGCAAACACGACAAACCCGCTGATTGTGATAAAAAGTGCCACTCGGGAGAGCAAAAGCCTGCTACCGACTGTAAGGGCTGTTGCCACTAATTTAAGACAAATGTTCACTTCCTTTACCTCCCTAAACTGTTCATCCTGATTCTGGATCTGCTTCTCCTTCATTTCTGCCCACCTATTGCCTATGTTGTCTTCTAACATTCTCTACTAAATATTAATGTCTCCTCGGCAGTACGGACTTCTCATTTTCCAAAATCCGTGGGTTTGTGGTTTCCTAAGTCCACCATTTCACAAGCTATTAGGCGGCTCAGCAATCCACAGGGCCTATGAGGAATAAATCCATAATGAAAATCGTCTCATCACTATCTCTTGTTTGCATTATTGACGGTTTTACTTTCACTAAATTCCTTAATGTTTCAACTGTGGTGGAGCTCTGTAGCACTCAAGCTACTGGTAAAGACCCTGATGCACCTCCTTGCTGCTGACGTATGGACTGAATCGCAGAGGATGAAAGGCTCGGGCATCTATGAATTTAATAATAACAGATGTCACAGAGATAACTCCACCACCTCTTCACTCTCCGTGGTACTGGCTCTTATCTCTGTAGCACGGTGTTCTGACATCATTCCCCCATATGGCCGGTTCGGCCTTCTATGCACCTTCCATGGATCTCTATCCACCCGCATGCACATGCCGGTGCCTTTGGGAGGAGCTCTGGTGCTACAGTGTACTGCCCTTCCTTTCAAAAACGTCTTCCTTGACGCTCTCCATGATCTCTTATCTGCTCCACGACAATCTTTTTAGTGATTCTTAGCAGAACACAAGACTAGGAAGACTACTACGTATCTGTACTAGAATGAAGATTGTGAGTTTTTTTGACCAGCGTGAGATCCAGTAATTAAACTTAAGTGAGGAAAGGAGTAGTTCCAGGGATTTAAATCCAAAGCAAAGCAATATTTTTCGGAGAGCCTAATCAAAGTACTAACTGCTTAGAGCCACGTAATGTTTTCCCATCTCCATATTTCTTGCAACTTGGAGGTATAACAAATGTTCATTCTTCGCTCACCATTCTCAGTTTCCTTTACGGACCATTTGGATTTGTGCGATTCTGACCTTCTCTAATTACTGCCCTCGGCATTGAACCCTTCGCCAAATCGCCACCGATTTTGTTATTCATTGCATATACTTTCCTTGGTGACGTTTCAGCGCAACATGCAACCCTTAAAATTCTGACTGTTTTGGCACTGTGAAGTGGGTTACTTACCAGTGTGGGCGCTTGAGTCATCTTGGAAAATTTCATGTAACCTTTGTGACTCAGATCATGTTAAAAACACGTTTTTCACACAAACAAACAAATGCAGATCCAATCTTTATGATTTGATTTATTTCCGGTAGATTTACCCGTTTACTAGTTGATTAATATCCACGAAAAAGACGTGATAGTAGGTGTGAATGAGAATCTGCTAACAAAGGTTTGTCGCACCCAATTTGCTTTGACATTGGCACATTTGGCAGCAATAATTTGACTCCCGTGGTGAATTTTGATGTATGCATAATCTGGAACGGGATTCGGGATCTACTTCTCGGATGGTATTCGAGAATTTTCAACGATCTAGAGGGATAGAAATACAAGCTTTAAATAACTTCCAGTGTCAAGCGTGATGGCACCTGTAGCAAAGATAACTATTCTCTTTTGGCAATGCAAACACTGCATCTTTGACTGGAATTTTCATCCATTAACTTTACATGCAAAGGGATAATAAATAGGACTGACTTAGGACTACATTCTTTTGCAGTTTTGCCCCATAAACTAGATGACAAATGGGGTGATTGGTGGCAGGTAAACAATATGGTCAATCTAATGTGGCTGCTAAGATTTGATTTCAAAAGAGAATAACCAAGTTGGTTTCAGTGGAGTATAGGTATGAGATGAGCACAAGATCACCACGGTTGTAAATGCTAGCTACCTCCATTTCTCATGCAATTGTCGACTACCAATGCCAAGAAAAAGGTAACAATCATCACTCAGAGGGATAAAGTAAGCAAGGATGAGAAAGAGGCTAAATCTACCCTCCCTAAGGTGCACTAAAAGACGTTTGAATGAGCTAGTTTTGCGCTGTCTTGCAAGAATATGAATGGCACCTCCTCCAGACTCACTGACCGACTAGTACCGTCTGCTTCTGAGGAAGAAAAGTCAAGGTTGTATCCAGCTTAGCCGAGTAATTAAGCTTCTGTTGCATTGTCTGTTCTTTAGTAAACGAGCAATCTCTAGTGATCATTTGCGTCTGCAGTCAACCGCATGAACAGAGATGATCTTGTGGAAATAGGTGTAGATAATCAGCACCATGTTTGCTTAGTGTTGCACCACGAAAGCCCACTTCTAGTCACAAGTCATACCGTCAGCCAGTCAGGAGATAATTACTTATAATTACCTGTTAGGGTAGTTGGACACACCTATCTCTGCGGTACTTTTTTGCAAATTTCTTTTTCCAGGCGATATACGTATAAATCAATTGCTCCATCATTTACGCAAAACATTCTACCATAATCAAGTGGTGTAAACAATCCAATTCTGGACGATGCGTTATGCTGCCGCACATTTCACCTTTTTTTAAATACTATTCATCAAATTCTACGAGAATTTTCTGCAATAACGAAACCGAGTTAAACTAGGTTCGTAGTCCATACAAGCTCGAAGCACATCAGATTAATTCCACCATCATTTTTCGATACTTACGTTCAAAAGAACAGTATAAGTGATAGATGAAGGGTCTCGATAAATTGAGCGATATCAACGCCATGTAAAAGGGTTATAAAAGATTGGGTGCATCCTACGAGCCGCTTTAAATTGCACAAGTCAATGCAGTGAGCTACACCTAAAAACGTGTTAAATCTCTTGAACATTTAGTGCTTTTAATCTTCCCCAACCTTGTAAAAATGGAAATCATCTCATATTGGAAGAAAAGGCAGGATTACTAGAAAATGATCCACTACATAGAGGGTGCTTGTGGGACTTAAGGAAGTATACGGAGAACATGGATACTGAGTCATCTTCCGTTCCGTTAGGACGGAGAGAGAGAGGTCATCATGACAAAATTCCTTGATGTCGGTAAACTGCCAAAGCGTAGATTTTTTCCTTCGTAAGTGCCAGTCATTTCAAGTAAGTGTAATACATCAACGTTCCCATTGAGGACGCTCACATACGTAAGGTTAAAAAGGCTTCGAACGTATACAATGCGGCAGTATAACCAGTCTACTCTTGAGTGTCACGCAAACAACCGCGCAAGTCTTGGCCAAGAAATTGCAAAATTTGGCTTATGGGTATATTTTAACCGATGTAGGATCATTCGTTACCTATCTACAAGTCACTTACCCTCATTCTATCAAATCAAACAACAGGAAACAGGTGTCCGTGTTTTTACTTGAATGAATTTAAGTCGAGCCAAGGTATGTAAATGAGAAGCGTTATCAACCATCGCTTTAATCACCCGCTTTTGCCTTTAGAATCACAAATGTTAGATGGTACATTGGCGTGATCAACGATTTGTAAGTTGATTCTGCGGTGGCATCGTCAAGGCCAACTATTGGGCGTGGATTTAAACATCGTTCTGGCATCCTGTTTTATTGCATAAAAAAAGAGACTGTTCTTTAAAATTTGGATAACCCTAATGATGACGGAAACCTTGTCTTTTCGTAAATTTGCGAAAACGATGATTAAATTGCTTTGTCGAGTTATAATTCGAAGAAAACCAACAAGTGGCAAAAATGTCTATTTTATGCTCTCGTTAAAGCATCACTCTCTTGGTAGCCGGCTAAAAAATGAGTTTATGTTCAAGAATCACCTGGCCATCGATCTCTTCTATGGTGGGATAACGAGGGCTACCACTTTTAAACAGCCCAATCTAGGCTTCAGTAATTATCAGCCAAAATAATATTTAATTCGGCGAGCGTCATGACATCTGAACCTAACAACAAAGTGGCAAGCCTGATTAAAAATGACGCTGTTTCGCTGTTGCCAAGGCCGTACCAGTAAAAAACGCAGGAGCTCCTTCATACTACTCCCACGAGGCGGAACCGCCACCTCTGTCAAAAGGTACAAGTCGTACTTATTTTACTACTTTCAGTACAACACATCTATTTAATACGCAAATTGTCATCCGTACAGGGGTCTATCTCCTGACAAATTGCCTCAAAAGGAGCCGACCCCCATGTTTCCCGAGGTACCAAACTAGCAAGTGATTAGGTCACGTCGTAACGTGACAGGAGCAGGCAACAGAGTGATACGCCTTCTGCTACGCATAGGCAATTAACATTCGACGGGAATAAGGTAAGAACAGTGGTCCAGCGGTAGCGCACTCGTGGACCAGTGCAGTGGTGAATGCTCTCACCCCCCTAAGTCATTTGATAGCCGTCATGGTACAACAGTGTCAATTAAGAAGTGCATGCTGTCATAAAGTATACAATTTAATTTTTTGGTCATAAAGTGAGGCGAAATGAGTGCCCGTGTACATGTATGTCTGCAGCTGAGATTAAGCAACTGTCATCATCGCCCTGAGAAAAGACCCGTTTCAAGGCGTGCATCTTATAGAAGGTCTGCAAGTTGAAAGTCACCATTTTCTCCCCATGGAACAAGGAAATCCTGTTAAAATAAAACATTCTCTAATATACGACTCCATACAAAAGGGTACGGCAACTTTTTGAAATTCAGGAACGTACGGGAAGCAAGCGATTTCGGAGATATAATTTGAACGCGGGTACTTGAGTCTTCGTAGGTTTTTCTCCACTCTCCGGCTCGGCCCTCCAGACATGCCAGCAGCCTCTCAACGTTGGTAAGTAGTATGTTCTTCCACAGCATTTGCGGCTGTTACAACCTTATTTAAGTACGGCAGTTGGCATCCATTTACCTCTCATTTGTAAATAAATGTCAAAGGGAGGTTTGGAGATTTCCCTTTTGGGTTGCAACAAACAAGGGGAGTGTAAACACCTTTGCGTCGCGAGTCTTCAATGACGTCGTAAGAAGTATGGAAGAGCATATATTATGTACAAAAGCCCTGGGAGGCTGCTGTCATGAACTACACAAGCAAAAGCACAACCTACGGAGAACAAAGTGCTCGGGAAGTTCAACACGGCCACACAAAACGTCAAAATAATCGCATCAGCACTCGGGTAGTAGAGGTGCGGAGAAGGTGTCGCTTGTTCATCTAGTTGACACCTATCGACAGCTCCGTAATGCCCAAATCCCGATGGTTCAAGCTTAACATTGCTTCTATTGTTAATGAACTTCTTGCAGAACACGGGATTGGGGAAATAACCAAAGATGGACGTTACTTTTTACTCCTCGATTAGGAAGTCTGTGCAGATTTCTTCAGCCGTGGCAGATGTCCTTCATCTGTCACACTGGGACATAGTACCCCGCCACAGAGATCAGGATACTTGTTCTTTTGGATTGGGTTGACTTGGCCCCTGCCACCAGTGTGTGGCGTCCTCAAGTCTTCCCTAAAGTCGTAACACGCCGCAGTAGTATGGAAGGCCACATGTAACCGGGCGGAGACCACGTCGCTGAGCCAAAGTACAATTTGGAGAGCCGAAAGTGTCAACGTGAGTAAACACACAATTAATCAAAACGTCAATTTACTATAAACATACCCTAGTCATATATTTTTTTGTTTCATCAAACGATTGATACGGTTTGGTAGTAGAGAGCCCTACCAAAAAATGGTAGAATCGCTATCTCACCTATCGGTTTAAAAATAAAGCCTGATGGACAGAAAGACACAAATTTTTTCCTTGCAAGGCTGGAAATAGAGTCAGTCTTAAAAGCGCCAGTTCAGTCAATGGAGGGCCGGTAGAGGTGAAAACAGAAAGACGACCAGACACTTCTATGCCCACCAACAGTTCGATTCGGTCGCGTTAATAATCACCTGGTCTGCAGAAAGTTAAGACCACACACGGCATGCTTGACTGTCTGTCACCCCAGCGAGAGGTCTCTATTTCGAATGTATTGATTGCCAGTGCCCCCAGACCATTAGATTGACACCCTAAACCACTATTTAAGCAGATAGATCGAGACTGCAACTCGGATGACATTACAAATTTGTAGTAAGGCGGTCGGGAAGTAAAAACTAAGGCCAGTTAGTCTGGTGATAATTATATTTTCCAACAGTCGTAAATGCACAAAGTACAGTAGAGGAAGAGCGGAGGGCGGGACGGGACGAGAGAGACAGATCACAGGTCCGTGAATGAGACTAGGGAGAGAAGAGAGGGGGGGGGGGGGGAGGCGAGAATGAGAGGGATAAAATTAAGTGGCGCCGAACTCCTGCATCCACTTCTCATACTTCTCAATGTCAGCCGCGGAGACGGACTTGGAGACACGGGAGATGGCCTCCTCGAAGTCACGCATCCTTGTCGGTAGGTTGAGATCGGCGGTTCGAAGGCTTTTTATCTCCTCCACGGACAAACCTTCAATCGCCCGTCGCATGGACATCATCGATGCGTCTCTATACCGTTCCAAAGAGGGGAACAAAAAATCTCTTCATAAATTACTGCGTCTCCTTTTCATCAGTCTTATGAGTTTTTGTCGCTTTCATTATGTAATTCAGCCTCTAGATGCACTATCCCTCATTTTATCGTAATGATATGAATTAGGAATTCTGCCGTCAGTGTTCCGCGGTACCTGTGATCTGCCACGACTGAAGCCAGAAAGAACATTCAATGGAAGCGAAAACTGTAGTTACTTCCTGACATAGTTCCCTATTGCAAGAGTAAAGAGTTGTCGATCCTGCTGATCCGTCCCAGAAAGCTGTCTTCGTACAAAGAAAACTCCAAAATCGCAAATATTCATCACTGAACACAGAAAGGATTATCACCCATGATCTCACAGCATAGTATGCGCCGATCATCCTCGTAGCAAGTATTCCACGTAGGCAACCACCACAGTCACAATCGAAACCAAGGTACCACAGAGCACCACCTCTACCACCGTGCTGTGCCTTAGTTTTCAGGAAAAGCCATCATCGCCACACATACAGGTGCTGTTGCCGGTAGACCTGACTAACAGTGTCTGGAGGTCGGCACGACACATACGCTGGCTATTACCAAGGAATATTTGGCACCTGGTACTGCGTGTACTACCGTTACGGTAGCAAAACCGCCCATTCGACTCCATTGCCCCTTTTGCACAGGCCGCAGCCTCAAAAAATTACAAGACACAAAAAGTGATTAGCCACAACTAGGCTGAAATTTTGCCCTTCTGAACCTCCCCCCGCCCTCCTGTGGCCCGATGTTTCCCAAGAAAGCACATTTGTTAAACCCGGTAACAAGACAGAGGTAGTGCACAAGAGGACACGGTCAGTAAAAACGGCAACACATGAAGGTCACAAACTGGTCAAATTAACTGACCCCTAAGGGTGAAGAAGCATTCAAAGGTAGTCAGCCAACACAGAATAACCTTTTTGTTACCTCTCACAATACCTCATCTCCTACCTCTCAGACTGAGGCACCTAGAACGACAATAATCACAATACCCAGAGCTACTCGAACTCTACTATTGAGGGTTTATACCCGAAATGATTAAAGACCACCACCATCGGTGATAATGGTCAAATTTGATAAATAACGATTGCCATAAACAGTTCTTTGATGTTTATGTAATGTGTAGTAAATTCCATAATTTGTCACCGCCATTTAAGAACCCTTTTCACCTTCACAATGGCTTAAATGACTGACGCATAAATTATTGCGGTTTCGCAAACTTCAGATTGAGAACCGAGTGTTTACACGAGGCGAGAACTTTAAAGATGTTTTTAGGCTAATTCCAGATAGTTGCCAGCTGGAAACAGGACCTCTTCAACTAAATAGGCTTAAATAATAAAGCCGTAGTTAAAGCTCAGCTACATGTGTGCAGCTTACCGGCAAACATTGGTGATGTCAGCGCCGGAGTAGCCAGCCAACTTCTCCGCAATCTTCTCAAACTTCACATCATCATCCAAGAGGACCTCGCGCAGATTAATATGCAACAGCGCCAATCGTCCGGTGACTGCATATGCAAATGGAGAGGAAAGGGTAGTAAAGACATCGCCAAATTATGCATGGTGCCGGAGTAGGACCTGGCAGCGCATATTCCAACCCCCAACTGATTCGCATCATGTGGGTGGATAATTGTATCACAGTCCTGTTTTTTCAACAATTTATTTTTTGGTTTCTGACATATGAGAATTATTATGTGGAAGAGCCACTACTGGAATGTGCGTCGTGATTCTACGACAGTGTATTAAGTTCTATCCTCTTAAAAGGAAATGATATAGAGATTAAAAACTTAGCTTCAAAATGCTTAACTAATGATAGCTGAAGGAACCAAGGTTGGCACGGACGGTTAAGGAAGCAAAACTATGCTTTTTACCAAAAGGTCTGAAGCACTTAGTCAACGACGTGAAGAGAAGTTTTTCAATGAATGAATATCAAATAACAAGACAATGAAAACAATAGAACGTGATGGCCAAAGCTTGGGCTAAAGCCTGCGCTTCAATTATCACCAAGACAATAAAAACATCGAAAGGGTGTTGTTACTGGTGGAAGGTAATGGAAAAAACTCGATTCATCACTATATTTGGAGAGTGCTTCCCAAAAAGCAGTCCAGGTCTTATTCATCGACAAACTGTATTTTTTGAGGGAGGGAATTATGTCCAAATCTTGCAAAATCTTCCAACCATCAAAAACGACACAATCACCTTAATAAAAATACAAAACCCAAAATAATAGCGAAATTGTGCGTGCTATTTTCCACATTAAACTTCAGAGCCTCTAATTTGAAACAAATCTACACGATAAGACGGCAAAAACACGCGTAAAACCGTTATGCTACACCAGCTTCAAGGTTCGACTATTGGAAACTGAATTTCAAGTCCCCTCCGGTTGCTTTAAACTTTGAATAAGCTTCATCTACCTCACTTGTGTGACAGCAGAGATGTTCTATGGGTATTTTATTTGCGCAAAACCGCAGGTATCGAAGCCACATTTTAAAAATCTACTTACACACGAAAAAAAGGTTACATTACTGAAACAAAATTGGTCGAGGAGGCACAAAATTTTTCCAGAAAAGCCAAGAAATTACTTCCGGAGGAAATAGTTACGTCTGTAGAGGAGAAAGTGAACCTCCACTTCCGGCAATTAGGTGGATCTATTGAATCGTCCTTGCAAGGCGCTGTCTCCATTCTCCCCCCCCATCACTGCTCCCATGACGATGTTATGGTTAGTACCACCATCGGGGCACCCCACGAGAGTAAGGCGATTGGTAGTAGTCAACTTGTTTACCACTCGCAATAACATTCGAATCACAGCAAAAGTGTTAGCAAATGCCAACTATTTCTTGCATTAAAAAATCCCATTTTCAGGTGATAATAAAAGTTCATGGAAAACTATGACTTCATTTTGCAAACTGAAGCAATTACGTGAGTTTTGTGGTGCTGCAGACTTTTAAGGCCTGTTCCATTATCCCACCTCAATCAAATGAAATGAAAAATTAACTTAAATAAAATAGGAAAATCAAAAACACCAAAAAACCATAATTGGACTTTAAAAAGGCCATCAAAGGCTGAAATTTGAAGCCAAATACTGGTTTGTCGCAAGAGTGGACGTATTCAGCCCCAGAGAGCTCACTTTTACCCATACACATGCCAAGAAATGTAGTGAATAACCGAGAACTTACCGCTAGGTAGGGGTATGTAAATCCGTTTTTCCAGTCGACGTCGCAGAGCTTCGTCAATGTCCCAAGGAAAGTTGGTCGCGGCGAGAACCATGACTGTTTTAGTCGGGTCATCATCCTGTCCCGTAGCGCCATTAACACCTGGTGACAGAGGTCGAAACATCTACGTTAAGAATTGTGAATCTCTAGCTCAATTGTTAACAGTTCCGTTCTGGAAGTGAACTACTTTTCTACCGAGTTTCAATAAGTAGCAAAGTGCGCTCACCATCCATTTGCACTAGAAGTTCAGATTTGACTCGTCTGGAGGCCTCGTGCTCAGATTCACCGCCACGTCGCGAGCAAAGCGAGTCAATTTCATCGATGAAGATGGTGCTGGGAGCGTAAAATCGCGCCATGTCGAAAAGAATGCGCACCAATTTCTCCGACTCACCACGCCACTTGCTGGTGAGACTGGTGCTTGAGACGTTGAAGAAGGTGGTGCCGCACTCCGTAGCAACGGCTTTGGCCAACAGCGTTTTGCCAGTGCCTGGGGGTCCTACCATCAGCACACCCTAGGGGTCAAGCAACAGTACTATTGGCCAAAAGATCCGGCCACAACTTCCAGATAATATATTTTCTCGAAACTACAAATTCGCCATTTGTACTGGAAAAAGATACTAATCATATATTTCGGCTGACACCGATGTCCGCTGATAGTTCACATTGGTGCAAACACCTCGTGTGCGCATGGCACGTTTTGAGTACGAAGTTTGATCAGACCGTTTTTAAAAGAACAGGAAATTATGTAAAGGTTAGTTGTTAAGTATTGATACAATCGACCGAACCTAAATGCATACAAGGATTTTTAAGCACACAAAAATCTTATAGAAGAAAATGGTTCTCGAGACGTTGGCATAACCAAAAGGCACACCTATATTTTCAAACATTTGAGAGCTAAATGCCTATTCCAAAATTCTACATTCGCTATCCAAAATGGTGCAGGTATCAAGATTTTACGAAAGAGCTGTTCTGATGAGATGGACGTTTATTAAAGGATCACGTTTATTTAAATATTTTGACAATGTAAAAATAAAAGACCCTTTGAAGCATTTTTGGATGTCCCTAGTGAAGGTAGTTTTGTTTAGTGTCATTAATTTTTAAAACGCAATAATTGGCATACGACAGGCTTTTAAAACAGGAGAATTCCCCCAGACCATTAAAAATAAAATCTATGGGCCAAAAAATATTCGCCATGGAAATCGAACCAATGCAAATCACACCTTCCACGGTCGCCTGATGCCTTTGAAATAGTTAGGAAGTACCATAGGAAGAACTACGGCCTCTTTAAGAAGGCGCTTGGCATCATCCAGTTCGGCAATATCATCCCACCTAACGGCAGGATTTCGTTGCAAAATATCCCTCTCGAGCATTTCTGCGAGGTCTTTGTCTACAGCCCCAGCCTCGTACTTCTTCTCGCTTGCCTCTGTCGAAGCACTGCTTCTGGAGGACGAGGGATTGTTATTCGATGAACTCGCTTTTGCCGCACTAGGAGCACGACCAGAACGCTTAGCTGAAGAAAAGTGAGGAAACTCAGCGTGACTTTACAAGAACAATTAGATTCTGCTTGTCTATAATGCAGCTGCACCCAATTTTACCTGGCGCACCTTTGCTTGGTCCTCGAACTGCACCTTGGGTGCCCGAACTTCGGCAACCATCGTTAGGAGGTCTGCGGCTAGCAAGGGAACGGGAACCTGCGGGAGGCGGGCCTGAAACAGCCCCTCCAGATGATTGTGATCGTGGCAGTGGTGGAGGCCACACTTCAAGATCTCGTGTTGGCTCCTCTAATGGGTCATAGGGCAGACAACCTCCGTTCGACTTCTCGTCGAGAGTAAAGCTAGCCAAAGTTTTGTTAATGTCCGACACAAGTTCGGACTCCTGCATCACTTCTTGTTGAACCTTAAAATTGGAAGACAAAAAGAAAACATTACATTTCATAGCCATGCACTTCGAATGAGCAAAACCGACGCGAAGGATGATCTCACTTGAATCCATTGCTGCTTCCTCCCATAATCCTTGATTGTAATGAGATGCTTCTTAATGAGAGCCAAACCGCAAGAGTAGAAAGTAAGAGCACTTTCATAATTACCCAGGAGACTGTGCTCCCGAGCCTGCCTAATATTTGAAGAAATCTCAGTATAGATACACATGCTGCCTATGACGGCCCCTAGACTAAATGCACCGCGTACATTTGCGGTACACAAAACAAAACCTTAGGATGAAATTACTTTAAAAATTGGCTTCTTTGTGTGGCATCACAAATGCTGATGTGTGAGGCCAGTAGCGAGAGACGTACACCCTTAAGAGGTATGGTATCTAGTGCATTTATGGAAATATGACACATGATGCCGGAAAATGCAAAAATAATCAAATAAAAGTGCACCTATTTGCTTGTTTACCTTGTAAATTTATTATGCATAGGAAATAGTAATTTTGGATTATCTCCACACACTTGTTTTTACAAGCAGTTCAAATGTCCAAATTTAAGCATACACTAAAGTTAAGAAAATTAAATTCCTCTTCTAGCTCCCTGTTAAAAAAGCCAAAGATATCACAGGAGCTCATCGCAACCGCGGATCACCGTCTGCAAGTACACGGTACATTGTAAAACTCCTTGTTTTTCCTTGTTAAACTGTCGACGTGCACTTCGATTGCCCTCGCGTGAGTTGGATATCTCCTGTGGGTTAGTTCTAGTGGGGAAGGATGAAACGCCCTAATGTCTCTACGATGAAGTTAACGAAAGAAGAAGAAATTCTCTTGGAGCAGTACGGCCGCACACCATCCAATAAATCGAAAAAGCTTATATACGGAAACGCTCTCTTAGTCGCGTCCGCTCCCATATGTAAGGCTACTGCCCTAGAAGTTCGTTTGCTTAAGGCTTAACATTTTTAGTCGTTTTGACCATTAATTCTCTCATTCACGGCTTGATAGTTTCTAGGTTTGTACCATCACTAAAAACTGTCAGTAGTATAGCTCAATTTATGTATTTAAGGGAACAGTTGGATGCCCTATTACATGTTTGTCGGCCCTCTGGGATCCTTCATCATGGAAACTGAATTGCATTGTTTAGCTGCTCTTTTACCGTGCTGTACAAATATATTCATGAAGATGTTGAACGGAGTCATATTTCATTTTGCAAAAGTCTGCTTTATGGGCTATTTGTTGGGTAGTGATTTATGGTGAAGTTCTTTCTTTTTAACTTAGGGCTTTACTGGCGCATACATGAAATGGATTTCCTTCAGAACGCAATTCTCTTCGCCTTGTTTACTGCTGTCGTAACTTACCTGATTTCTTGTGCCTACTCCAATTCAAAGAGTCCATTGATGGAAAGGTTCGACACTTACTACGTTTCAATAAGTTGTACCTTATAGAATCGCGCTCATCCGAGCTGATGCAATTACTCAGGAAATCTCCAAACAACTCGGTAATGACAAGAAGGTTTCCAAGAAGGAAAAGGATGACCTGTAAGCATTCTTGACCTTTTGTATATGCCACCTTCCTAGGATACAGCAGAAGACCAAAGATGTTGCTGATTACGAGTCGACTACCTTCTCTATCTTCTACATCAACGCCATTTTCATCTTAATTTTGATGATTACATCGACTATCCTGCATCAGCTTTCAAATTCTATGTAAGTGTAGCACTGGTTTCATACGATAATAATTTCAAATACAGGTGTATAAACTGTGAAGTTTGCTGATCAGGAGTGCATTTAAATTTTTATAACAACCGTTAATCTTTGTACATTTGGAGTTTTTACTTGCACGCCCTCAGTATTTTTCTTTGTTTAGGAACTACGCACTTTCCATGCTGATCGCGTCAGGTTTGACGGTTTTTCTGTCCTCCGCAAAGCAGGTGAAACAACACCGCGCCTAAATTATCCCCTGGCGGTGGACTACCAGCAGTGCTCACATCGAACTGGAAGGGGGATGTGCAGTCGTCTCTCCTCCCAAACTTTTGTTGCAAATTTAAGCAATAAAAATATTTTTGTTTTCAAGGTGTCTCGTCTTCTACTGATTTTATGTGCTTTCGCCGGCGCACTAATGTCTTCCTACCTTGTTTTTAGTAGCAGGTACAAGTACCATTGTGTACAAATCAATTTAAATGGTGCAAAATTGACAGATATAGAAATATAAACGGGATCAGGTGAGTAGTTACTTCTGTCTCTTTTTGCCCCTCTTCCGTCCTTTCCTCCTCCCCCGGAGTATTTTGTGGGTCACAATCATGCAACGCCACCATGCTTGAACCTAGGAGGGGAAGATGGTGTAATTTTTTCCCAAAAAAAAACAATCTTGTGGGTTATTGGGACTGCCAATGCTAAATTGTAGGTTGCTGCCCTGGGGCTTCTGTCACGAGGGTCATTTCAAAGTCATGAAGTCTTTGATATAGCTCCTTCCACTTTATAGTGGCGATGAAAAGGATAGTATAAATTTTCATCCTTTTAAGTAATAGAATAGGTGTTTCAATATCTTTTTATTGCTGTGAGTGAATCGTGGCTGGTCTCTACGTTTTTGAGGCGACATTTTTCGTGTGGATCAGGCGACGATGCAGGTTAGCCTTTATAGACCTCAGTTGAATATGTCAACTCACTTTGATGACCGCTTCATCCAGTGACTTCTCTGCATCCTCTTTCTTCTTTTTCTCTACCATTTCGGCTTTATACTCTTCAACTACATCATCCATTCGTTTGAACTGAAACACACGTTAGATGGCGTTAAAAACATACAGATTTGGGAGGGACTGATGCCGATTTACGTGGCTTACAGTGCGTTAGAGGTATAGGCTTACGAAGTTTTTTTTTATAAGACTGTGGCTATTGCACTTTAAATGAAAGCGCGGTCCCACTTATCCTTCTCGTTTCATCTTTTCCATGTTTTTTTCATCGTTCTTTCCTGCTAGTGGAACCCTTCAGGGATACTTTTCGAACTTCCATCATAGAACCACAAGGAAGTTACTCGAAATGAAAGGGAGTGACACATTATTTCTTGTCGAGAGTTTCAGATACACTTGCCACAATCGTAGTTGCTTACATGTTTACTAAAATACACTCATGAAATGGAAATGAGATACAGAACTTGGTGGGAATCTCTGGTTTTGCGTCGAGATGTCTACTTATTAACACTAGTAGTATCTCTGTCGGGTCCATTAAGGCAGGGTTGAGCGCATGTAATGGAGTTCTTTGTTAGCATTATTACTTCAACTCAAGGTGCGTGCTGCCAGCTTCTTGACCTTTATGCCAATAATACCTTATTCAGGTGATATTTGTACCGTAAAGTTACCAAAAAAGAATGGGGATTTGTTTACAAGTTTTTAGACTGCAATTCACCTCCACCGTAAAGAGCTTAGAGTTTATCCAATCTTTACCTCATAGATGAGTGTAGTCAGAGCGTCAAGGTGCTTGTTCCTTTTTGCCAGCAGTTCAGAATACGCCTTTTGGAGCGCTGCGAAGTCCGTTCGATGCTTCTCAGCCATATACTCAATTTGCTAAACAAGGAAGCAAATAAGTAGTAGATGTAAGCATTGTGAGTTACCTAACTTGACCGCAACCCAAAGGTGTCATTTTGTGTAGGGTGCTTTTAACACTTCTACTAATGAACTGATCAAGTTTTCGAAGCCAACGCATCCTCGGGCCGGGAACATTCTCGATCTACATTGATGTTCTAACTCTACCGATGTGTATTAGTTTATCTTTGACTTTTTCATGTATTGATGTCTTTATTTAATACAGTAGCAACTGATGAGTGGACTCTATCGCTTGGCGTCTGGCCAAGAAGGTAGACGACAGCGATGATTCCTGCAGCTTGTGGTATGCAGGAAAGGGCAATTTGACTGAAATTTGCAAACGTTCACTAGTCAGCCGCGCTCCACCACGTTAATGTCGATCCTGGCTGAGATGGTTACTGTCCAACCGCAGCACAGAAGGGCACTCAATTAAGCCTATTATGAAGTTGCGCAAAACGTGACTCCTTCTATGGAAACGGTGCCAAAGCATGCATGCCATTCCAGAGATTTTCAAGGGAATAAGAAGTGTCACGCTTGTGTGGACTTACAGCCTCCAGCCGAGCGTTATTATTCAGCATCCAGGCGTTTATATCACTCTGAGTCCGTTTCTCACTAACCACATCGAATCCAGCCTTAGCGATGGCCGTGGTCAATTGGTCCTCTTTCTCCAATCGTCGTACCCTCTCCTCGGCCACGGCGACTTCCACGTTCTTAGCCCAGAATCGCTTCTCCATATTCACCTTTATCCGCAGCTCCTTGCGTCCACGGGGTTGTCATTTGAGAAGCAAAAGGATTGTGTGTTTGACTTTTACGGTATTAAACTACTTTATCCAGTGATTCCTCTCTGTGATAGTTTCTAAATGAAATTCTGTTTTTTTTGTTCTTTGACGAATTCTCTTAAAGATGCTGTGACTGACGTTGCGTCTGACGCATGACTAAAAGCCTGTCGTCTGGTTAAAAAATGACTGCTAGTTGATTGTCTTTTTTATTTTAGTTTTCTCCTTTGCTAGTGTCTGTATTCATGGATAGACCTACTTGGAGTCTATTGTTCAATAGTTCGATGAGACGTCTTCGTCTAAATAGCAACTTGTCACTCTCCTTCTTGAAATCCTCCACCTTCTTTTGCATATTCTTCAGTCTAGCTTGAAGCTCCATTTGCCTACATTTTACATATTGAAAACAACCTTTAAATAGGCGTATAAAGTTCATTCATTGCTTTAATGGATTACGGCTAACATATGACATCTTGCAACTACTTATGATATTAAAAGTAGCATGGTCTGCGTAGAATAGGTCTGTTTCAAAAAGCCGATCTTTTTCCAAATGGCGTTAAACCTTTCTATTAATTGTTACTATTAACAGAACAAAAGTAAGCCAAAAATGCTGCAAAATGTCATTTTAACTTACGTGTTCACGACACGTGATAACTTGACCAATTGAAGGGACGAATCTTCTATATGGGCTTTTAGAACTTCATAGGTTCCTGTATCTTGCAACTCTTTCGAACAGGCAATAAAAACGTCTATAGTTTGAGATCTGTGAGGAGTATTTTAGAAATTGCAGAAACGTGTTTACTTACATCTGCTTCTTCACTTTTTCATCGTAGAGGTAGTCGTCAGCGTCCTTCTCCGCGTCAGTGGTCAGCTTATTGTTCGTCTTTAAGGAATTTGTCTGAAACTCTAAAATTAAAAAAAAAAAACGAAGATATATATCAATTCATTTCAGCTTAATGTCTTTCAAATGAAGGACATTTCTCTCGAATTATTGTACCCTTTCCATTGTGTAAGAACCAAACTCGGCTCAGCGGTATTACCATCCGGCCGTGTCAGGAGTCCTCCAACCCATTCCTAGAAGAGTAATAAAACTTCTACCATTCTGTTATGAGTTAATAGAACTTCAGAGAGGACTTGAAACACTATAATGGCGGCACCGGTAAGCGAACCCGATCTGGACTTCCATGTCTGAATGCCAAATCTTAGCGTCACTCAGAAAAAGAGCACCCGATGCGAACCCCTTAATATTGTAGTACGGACTACAAAAAAGAGGCAAATTGTCTTCTAAATTCAAAATTTCACCAATTTTTTTTCTGTTCTGCGACGTTGGAACTGAATGACATGAATCAGTCTATATGAATAAATGATACCTTCTCAAAACCCCAGATAGAGGAATGTGCAGCAATAATGAGAGAAAAGCGGCAAAGAGGCTAATAAATCCAGATTGTGTACGTCTACTTTAAATCACAAACTCGTAGAGCAAAGCATTTTACATCCTTAAGCAAAATGGAGCTAGTGAGTCCCCTTTTCAAATTCAATTCACAAAAGGGACAAAAAATCCAGCTACAATGAACTCGGCAAGATGCATCACTGACACTAAGATTATGCATCTATTCACTCTAATAATAGTGAGATGATCACTATCATCATAAAAAGGAACTTTGTGATAATGTATGGTATTTGCTTCGATGATACCAAGGTAAAGTCGACTCGTGAATCAGACTTGTTGGAATTACACTCTTATGATCCAGTGGATACCTTATGATATTAGGGTTCAAGGCAAGAGGGGGAAAAGTGGGGAAAACAATTAAAATTATCATAGTGACTGTCTGGCGTATATCTACGCTTATAACGTTAAAGTATAAGTGGCATCTCGCTAACTGTGCTGAACATGGCATGAATTTCTTCGGTAAAATGTTATATCATGGTAAAAACACTCACTTTCAACTGTTCCATAGTTTTCAAGAATTTTGTCAGCCCGTCGTAAAATTTTTGATATGCCTTCATTTTCATTAGCTTTCTTGCGCTCAACTTCTTCTGAGACTTCTTTGCATTGCATTGATGACAAGAGAACCCCAAGTTCTTCTGCTGTTGCCTCAAATAGTGAGCCCAAAACCATGGATTCGACTTTTCCAAACGCCATTTGAGTAAAAATGTCGAGTAAAAATCAAATAATGGCTGCAAAGAAGTAAATCCAGCACTATAAAGAATATTTATAACACAAGCACTTTTTTAACTAGGTGCAAGTAAATAATGCGATTAATTGTCAAAGGCAGAACCTGGTTAAAGTTATATCGCAAAATTCTACATCTCTATGCTCACTTTTCATTCTGCCTTGCTTATAAACTAGAATAAAATATTCTCTTCTCACCAAAGCCTTTATTGATAAGCAATTTAGTTAGGCATGGTAAATGGACACTAAATAGTCAAACGAACTAAAGATTGCAGATTATGCTCACGCTCGAAAAATAATGTATGCCAAGTTGTGGTGAAAAAAAGGAGCTGAAGTTATCTCATTTTATTTGTACAACTACCCAATAGTTGTTTTAAAAAACAATTACTACCAATTTGGTCGCCTTATCTTTTTCTCTCTGTTCTATCTCATGATTTGTTTTGCACTCTACTGGAATCTTCAAATCAAAGTCTGATTAACCTTTGCAGCAGCAATAAGATACATTAGAGATATAAGAGCATCAGTTAGTATTTGATGTGTTGATCTTTGATGCGGGTATGACAGTTAAAAATGTACTTTAACTGAAAAATATGCTACTTGTGCAGTCCAATAATAAATGGCTTTTTTATTTCATTTCTAAAATTGAAATAGCAACTCAGTCAACACATGATAAATGATAGCAGTCAACACCAGTTGTTGACATCTTGAGGTGAATACTTTTAACAAACACGCAGACGGTGGTCTAGAAACTGCTTGACTATTGTGCTCCCGCAAATGCGACATAACCCAATGAAAGCCTCATAAAAACTAAAAGCGTTTACATTTTGAGGCATTAAAGTACTTAATGCTGCTTTTAAGGCTAAGGAAATTTCTTCCCAAGCGATGCCGAAGATTTCCTTGACTCCTATAATTAGACTGCAGTGATTATATTATCTGTGCTTTACGATCACTAAAAGAAGAAAGTGCGCCTAGCACTGCCCTAATGTTATGTTCTAACCATCTTGTCATTACTTTTTACTTTGAAGGAAAAATGCTGCACTCGGAATTAGGTGAGCGCTGTGAAACTCACAAATAAAATTTTTGTAATCAGTGTGCTCAACTTTGCTTAAGGTTGTTGCCATAACAACAGACTGAATGAAACAATTAATAGCTGATTGCAAAATGTGAATAATTAGCAGAAGTTGTTTTTTTAACCGAAACATGTAACTTTTTATTTTCGGGAATTTTTCAGTGGCAACATGGGCTTTGAGTTATCTGGTTCCTCTAAGTTCAACTAGTTGTCAAACTGGATTCTGATCTGGCGAATATTTTGTATTCCAGCCAAGTTGTCTTAAAAAAAGTGTAAAAGAATTCGCGATCAATGACAGGATTCACTTCTTAAGGACAGCCGTGCATTCTCTCCCGCCTCTACTAAATGTCTATGATATTTCCTGAATATAGTGCAGACCTAATTAAAATAAATTTGGGCCGGTAAAGCTTGTTTGCAAATTGCTGTCAAACGTATCTGCAAGCACTGCAACGAACACATGAGGGACCAAAGAAAAACCAGCATTTGACTGGTAAATTTAGATTCCCTTTGCCCTAAATCCACGTTCACAGCCCATCCAGCTACCTCTAAAACACAATTCTCAAACAGTTGTCTAAAAAGTATTACAGTATTACTGAGGCAACTCACCTATGCCAACTTTATAAAGACGCTTCCCACATTCCTAATGGACAATTAGAGACCAATTTGAAACAGTTTAAACGGCATTTAAGCCCTGGATTTTGGCAACAGGTCACGCAGGGCTTTATCATTACACCTCTGGGCAACCTTACCTTAGGGTCGTGCCGACGCCCCCTGGACTCTTCTCTAAGTCGACAATACACACACACCGCCCTAGTAACATGCCTTCTTTTGCCCTCGGGGAGGTCTCTTGTTGCTTGATGCTTCTTGTGTTGCCAAACACGACAACCGAAGAATGCTAGCCCACAAAGGGACGACAAACTTTTATTTCCAGTTGATATGATGTCCAAGAAAAGCAGTGGGGTGAGGGGAAAGCACACGAATACTAAGATGATGTCAGCTATAAAAAAAATAAAGTAGGTATCATCCTCAGAGCGGAGAATGCACAAAATAAATGATACTAGCAGGATAGCGTCAGTTTTAACTGCGATTGGGATGAATAATAACACTAGGGGAAGAGTTGTATCACAGAAGTAATAAGATGAACAGTGAGCAAGCCATCAGAATAGGTTAATGCTTCTCTTCAAATTTCGTTTCTTCCACTCCGGCAACTCAGCAAAGGCACCACGAGACATATGAAAGGCGTTCTACAAGTTGCAAAAACAAACGTAATTTTCACACGAATCCTGTATCCCACATAGACAAAACTCTAAAATTCAACATTCTTCATTTACGAACACCTAACCATTGGCACACAGTTTTTCCATCTACTCTAAACAAAAGAAACCCACCTCAAAGTCTTCGTCGGTTAGATAAATTTCCAAACGTGTTACATCCAAGTCCGGTGGTCGTGGGCATTGCTGCAACTCCTTCAGACTGAATTTCATATTCTCCAGCCGATTTAGAAGCTCCTCCACGTAGTCTACTTGCCCAGCAGATTTGCCGTTCTGAAACGCATTCAAGCATCACAATTCAGAAGGTCAGAAGAATAGTACATATTGAAGAGGTGGTATTAAAAATTTAACTGAATCACATCCCCTTCCAGATAGCGCAGGCTACATGAACGAAATCTATGTCCGCAATAGTAGACGAGGATCAGTTAATGTAGCGGAGTTGTATGGTTACTTCCAAAGACTCCTCAGCATGGAGTGGATAGTGAAATACACGGACTCTTCAGCCTCCTGCCATTCAGCCACCACCTTGGCGTCGTGGAGACTTATAGGTTCCCAGTTCTTCAATTACAGCTTCAGGAATGATTTGGGGCTCTTTGCATTCATGTCGTTCGTAACACTAGTTACCTAGGCGCTCGAAACACCGTCAGGAACAACTCACACGCTACAAATGACTTACGCTGAGGTGGTAAGCTGCAGCCTCCGTAGTTCGTGAAGATGGTGGGAATAAATGCAAAAACTCATCCGGCTCGATTCCTGCGTACACCGCCACGGCGCGTGTCGTAGGACCAACTGAAACACACAAAAAATACCTCCACTTAAGGCATTCACAGTCGACGATAAGCTTGTCTAGAAAAAAAAAACCATCGACGTCTAATTTCTTTCACTGCCTTTGCTTTTAAAAACTCGCAAATGGCAAGCTGCCCGTTCCAAATTCATGACGAGGAAGGTTTGGGCTGGGCTATACCAAGTAGTCGCCATCTGTTTGTAGGAGGTATTTCCCATGAGCTCCTCTGCTGTCGGATTACTACAGTGTGTAAGGGATCTCGGGGAATAACACTGATGGGCACCTGCTGGCTCGAAAAAACAAAGATTTAAAGAACTCAGGAGTTAGAGTTGGAAGAGCCGACTAGTCACTAAGACAAAGTGGTTTGAAGTTAAGATGTGAGGGGAAATGGGCATAAAAGGCCACTAGGTAATCCTATTCTAGAAGCATCGTGTCTAAATAATTTCTACCATCCTCTTCAACCCCCCGACTTCTGATGGCTTTTTCTTAGCCACTTAATAAAGCAATGCGAAAGTGCATATTTTTTGAAAAATATTTATGACCTTAAGTTAAAGTGACTGCTTTAATCCTATACCACCTTTTCACGACCCCAAATTTTTCTCTGCTTTCAGAAGGTGGTGACAACTGTAAGGGCCTTACTATGAAGGAAGGAACCTCTGAGATTCTCAACGAGTGAATGGTGTGTTCTAAACGACTTTATAAAAAATATCAAATGAGGCAATTAATGTTTACCAGACCTTGTAAAATAAAGGGCTATGTACACTACTAAGAGCCTGGAATAATTGCTTATGCTAACCCAACCTTTCCAACGCCATTCGTGCAGCAATTTGGTTACAAATAAGACCCAAAACAAAGTGACTAAATTTAACACTCACTTCGTTGAGCCAGGGCTTGCGCGCTTCTCAGAGCAGCCAGTCTGGCGGTGACAAATCGGTGCAGGAGACTGGAGACCGACGAGAGAGGCGACGGTGTGGAAGAGGGAGTGGTAGTAGGGGAAGTAAAGCAGTCATGAACATCCGAATCGCAAAGTGGAAGACTGAGGGGTCTCGAAGATGATGCGTAAGATGGGGAGAGGTGGTAGGCATCAGAGCCGTCGTCCAAGTGCATCCGTACACCAGCCTCGCTGCTGGTGGTGGTGGCAGCAGCGGTAGCGGCTGACAGGGAGGAGGGTGACGACAGAGCGGACGACGGCGAAGAATTGTCCAACAATGCGACTCCACCACAGTTCTCGGGCCACCAACCGTGCCACAAGTAGACGTTATCCTTACCCTGAACCACTAGGAAGAGAGCTACAAACGAACAGTGTGTTTCAGTTACACACAAGTCCACGCTAGTGGTGGCAGTGTGCAAATCCTAAGGTCCTGCCTATATCCATGCCATGGCCATGGCCAAGGTGAACGCCTCCACACACCCACAGGTCCTATCCTCCGATGTCTTCTGAAATGTCAGCAGATCCAGATTACCGTACGGTTATCATTGCCTAACAATCCTTCTGTACGAAAGGCTTCCGCTCACATCATGCGAACCGACAACAGCAATTATATATGAAAAAAATTAAGTCATGATACTATGAATTGGACGATAACTGGTCAAATACACAGGCCCTTCCTCCACCCATGAATCCTCAAATCCTAAGATGTTGGTTGAACCCAGTGAATAGGATTCCAGCATTCCTGATTCATTAACTTGGTTTTATCGACGCAGATGTAGATAAAGATGCAAGCGTTTATCGTAAACTTCCCTGTATGCCATTCGGAGGCAGTGCAGCAACAGAACTTAATCTAACGTACTATAACCTACCATAGCGATCATAATAAG